AGTATCCTCCAGAGGATATAAATATAATAATCTTGAGGATAGACTGGCAGCTATGGAGTTGCAGAGGGTGCCCAGTTTGGATTTTGAATAACTAGGGCTGGTAGCTGGGATTGTTATCCCCCCCAAGTTCAAGGTGCCAACATTCGCCAAGTATGACGGTCTGTCGTGCCCAAAGATGCACCTGAGATCTTATGTCAGAAAGATCCAACCTCACTCATCTGATAAAGACCTTTGGGTGAACTTTTTTCAAGACAGTTTGTCAGGAACGCAGTTGGACTGGTTCTATCAGCTCGAGAGATCAGAGGTTCACAATTGGGAAGACTTGACGGCTGCTTTTTATCGTCAATATCAGTACAACGCTGATTTGGCGCCCACTCGTACTCAGTTACAAAGTATGGAGATGGCTTCCAATGAAGGGTTTAAAGAGTACGCCCAGAAGTGGCGTGATCTGGCTGGAAGGGTGCAACCACCATTGTCAGATAGGGAGTTAGTTGACATGTTTCTGGGGACCCTGTCTGGCCCCTTCTTCAATCATCTAATCGGGAGTTCTTCCGTGGGATTTACTGAACTAATTTTGACCGGCGAAAGGATCGAGGCCGGTATTAAGAGTGGAAAGATTCAAAAGGATGCTTCCGCATCCACATCTATTAAGAAACCCTTCCCGGCTAAGAAGGAAGCATCCGCTATGTATACTCAGAAGGGTCAGGGAAGAACCGAGCATCGGCCAACTGTAGGGGCTGTGATGATTCAAAACTCGTCAAATGATCAACCTCGTAACAATCAGTCGAGACCTAATCAACAACGGGTAGAAAGGATACAACGGCAGTTCACCCGAATCAACATGACGCCCGCTCAGGTACTCCCTCATTTGTTGAAGCTGAATCTTACCAGTTTGAAGGAAGCGCCAAAGAACCCTAACACCTCCTCTCCATACTACCACTCCAATGCCAAATGTGCTTACCATTCTGACAGTGTTGGGCATGATACTAATAATTGCTGGGCGCTTAAGAACAAAATTCAGGACCTGTTTGATGCCAAGGAAGTTGAATTTGATGCTCCTGAGAAGCCCAATGTTATATCTGCTCCGATGCCCAAGCACAACCACAATGTTCATTCCGTTTTAGAAGACCTCCATGTTACTGATGTTGCCGATCTTTTGACTCCATTGTTAGTGATTAAAGAGAAGTTGATGAGAGCCAGGATATTCCTAGGCTGCGGGAAGGACTGTTATTTTTGTTTGAACATACGAGCTGACTGCCCAATGTTGAAATCAGGTGTCCAACGCCTGATGGATACCTAAGAGATACTTTTCCAGAAAACCCCTGTTGACACCTTCACTCCTGCTACTCCTGATACTGGTGCTACTTCAACCAACAATATTGCAATCATAACCATTTCCGACAATCCTCCCAAGGCTTGCAAAAGGCCTGTCAGGATTACACCCAACTCTAAATGTGTACCATTAAAGATCACCATCCCAGGACATGTCCCTTACCAATCCAGCAAAACGATACCATGGAACTATGGGGGAGAAATCTTCTACCATGGTATCAAATAAATTGAGGCAGTCCAAGAAAATTCTGAAGAAGAAAACCCTGATATAGGGAACATTGCGGGTACAAGCAAGATAACCCGCAGCGGCCAGATCTTTTCTCCAGAGACTGCTCCCCCTCGAGCAGTTTTCGGACCCTTGAAAGCTTCTGTACCTATTAGGCCATCTGTGCAAGGCCCAATGATTGAAGAATTGGATACTCCTGAAGTAAGACCATCTGCTGATGCTACCAATAAGGGTAAGGGGATACTAGAAGTGCCTGTCAGGACGAAGGCTCATGCTGTGGTTATCCCCGAAACCACTCAGAAAGAAATGGATGAAATCTTGAAAATAATCAGAAAAAGTGACTACGACGTTGTGGAACAGCTAGGGTAGACCCCTTCTAAAATTTCAATGTTGGCTCTTCTGCTCTATTCTGAGGCCCATGCTAAGGCCCTAATCAAATTCTTGAAGGCGGCACATGTACCCCAAGAGACTTCGGCTGACCAGTTTCAGGAGTGTGTGGCCAGTCTTACTGCTGATAATGGCCTGGGCTTTTCCGATGCTGACTTGACTCCCAAAGGAAGGAAACACAACGATGCACTACATGTCTCAGTTGAATGCAGGGGAACCACCCTCGCCCATGTTTTAGTTGATACTGGTTCTTCCTTGAATGTGCTGCCGAAGAAAGCCTTAGACCATTTGGATTGCGAAGGATTGACCCTCAAACCTAGTAACATCGTTGTTAGGGCCTTTGATGGGTCCAAAAGAATGGTTCATGGAGAGGTTGATATTACTATCAAAGTAGGAACATAAGTTTTCAACTCCATCTTCTACGTGATGGACATCCGTCCGTCATATTCGTGTTTGTTAGGAAGACCGTGGATCCATTATACCGGGGCAGTTACCTCCTCTTTGCACCAAATGCTGAAATATCCTATTAAGGGTAAGATTATAACAGTGCACGGCGAGGAAGAGTACATGATAAGTCATCTCAATTCCTTTCGATATGTGGAGTTGGATGGCGAGTTCATCGAAACGCCTTTCCAACATTTTGAGGAAGTTTCTCCTGAGGTAGCAGTTACGAAGACAATGGGTGAGGTGCCTATCATTCCTAAGCATGTATCTAGAATGGCATCTCTCAAGGACGCAGAGGCTTTAATTAAAGAGGGGAAGAGTACAGTATGGGGGAAATTGCCTGATTTTCCCCATAAGACAGACAAGTTTGGGTTAGGATTTAGTGCTACAGGACAAAAGGCTACGCGTCACTCCAAGGCTGGAGGACCACCCATCAAGATCTCTCACCATGGAATCAATGCTGTAGAAGATGAAGATGAAGAGGGCCACTTTTAAGATTGGATCTTTCCGATCGTCGAAGGGGGTTTAAGCAACTGGGAAGCAAAGGATTTTGTTCCCATCACCTTTATCAACCAGTAATTTTATCTTTGAACAATTTCCCATTTATGGTCTGTAATAACTAAACAATTTGCACACTATTTTCACCTCATGCCTTGCCCGGGGCATGTAGGTCCATTTGTAAGGGCTTTATTTTCTTCATCATCATATGCCATGTTTTAATGAATCATTGGACTTTTTTATCTATAAACTGTTGTGTTCATTTTCTTTCCTTTTGCATTTTTGTTTGTTTAAAGATGGCTATCCCTTACACACACCCACACTGACAAATGCAGGTACCCATTGTTGTACCCCAATTTTTGACCTAAGATCCCATTTTTATTTTTTGCATTTTTTAAGATAAGTCAAGGTCACGAAATACGGTCGGTTTTAATGTCTCACCTTCGAGCTTTGACTATGCGAAGATTGTCAAGTGTTTTGAACATTTTTAGCATATGTATCACTAATTTCTAATCGCATACAAAGGTGTATGTTCATGTTTTCTTTTGTGTCATGTGCAGAGACAGGTCTGAATCAAGAGCATCAGGTGTCGCGCCTCAATTAAGGTTTTGAGTCTCCCAAGCCAAAAGTACGGTTGATTATGGATTCTTGAAGACTGATTCATCAAGGCACAATTGTTGCACACTAAATTTCGCCCCTAATTTTTTCAGTCGCACATTCATACCATATTTTATCATTTGGTCACAATCATTAGTAAATATCTTCATTCATCATATATTGCATCATTAGTCGTATTTAAGTTGATCAGAAAAAGTCAGTTTAAATCAAAGTTTGCATCGTCTTTCAGTTAAAAAATACCTGACATTTCACTTCATGCATTTTTATCTCTTTACTCGTTTCTTGCATTGATCCAAGTTGTTTATATGTTGATAATAAAAATATTTCGGTTTTATAGACAGATTGTTAAAAGCGATTCGACACTATGCGGAAAATTAGTGAGAAAAATATTTCAAGTTTTCACCTTTTACCGATCATTTTATGAATCCACGTTTCGCGTAGATTATGACGGTATGCTCGCTTTATTTTTTCGATACAATTTGAAGTCTCGTTTTTAACCGTAAACATCTGTTTTAGCCCGATATTTTTATTATCATTTTATTTTGATTTCGACTTTTTGAATATTTTTTATTATTTAATCTTTGTGACATGTAGTTTATTTTAATGTGTTCATATTAATTTTTCGGATAAATTTTCTTCCGTTTTTTATTGTTTTTAGTCATTTTGGGTCTTTATTTTTTATTCAGAAACGATTCAAAAAAATTATTTTAAATGGAGTTAATTTTAATATTTTTAGTCTTTTTGGTTATTTTTATTATTTAAGGGCTATTTGGTCACAAAAAAATATTATTTACACTGTGCTTGATTCTTATTGGCTGTTAGCAAAAATAACGGATATATGCAGATTTAATAATTTTGGACGGATTGGATTAAACCTGAAAACAATATTCCTCTTTATTTTCTTATTTAAGTAGCATCTTTATCACTTTGTACAGGGGAAAAAAAAGAAGAAAAATCAACACAGTAATCTCTCTTCCTAACCCAATTGCAAAAATCCAATCTTCAATTACCTCTCTCCACACTTGCTACCCTCCCTCCTCTCTTCACTCAACACATCATCCTTTATCTTTATCTCATTAACCTTTCTACATGACACAACCTCCCTTCTATTTCTCTTACCCCCATTTCTACACAAAACCCACAATCCCATAACAAATCTCTTCTTCCTCCCTTCTGTCTCCTCTTCAACACAGTATAATACCCCTCCGCCAATCGCTACAAACCCCTCCCATCAGCAAATCCCTCCGCCTCTGTTTCTTCTCAATACCATCCATTCAATCACCCCTTCCTACCGTAAACCCACCGAGCCAAAGCTCCCCGCGGTACCCACCTCTCCATTATGAACTTTAATTGGAATCTCAACACCCGTAGCTTACTGTCATCACCATATTTCATCTACCTTTGTTCATGAACCCACCTACTACTTTCTTCTCTCTCTCTCTCTCTAATTGAAATTATATATTATACACACCCCTTAATCCATTCATATCTTACTATGGATTTTAAGACACCTCTCTTTCTCTTGTTTGTTCTTGGCTCAACTTCCCAAGCTCTCAAATTCGATATCGGCGGAACCGCTGGATGGTCTCTAAAGCCTTCCGAGAATTACAACGAATGGTCAGGGGGAAACAGGTTCCAAGTCAACGACGTTCTAGTTTTCAAGTACAAGAAGGGTTCAGACTCGGTGTTGGAAGTGACAAAAGAAGCTTATGATAAATGTAACAAAACAAACCCAATCAAAAAGTTGGAAGATGGTAACACAGAGATTACTTTGGATCGATCTGGACCATTCTATTTCATTAGTGGAACTGATCAAAATTGTGAAAAGGGTCAGAAATTAAACCTTGTTGTCATATCCCCACGAGGACACACACCATCTTCTGCTGCTCCTTCACCGTCTACCACCACCCATCTCCCTCAACCTTCTCCATTCCCAAACCAGAATAACAACAACCCACTCCATCATCTCACTGTAACCCAACCTCCACCGTATCCACAACCGTCTCACAACCCATTCCGCTAACCCACCTTCAAACCGTATACTACCTCTTCACTCATTGCAACATCACCAAGCTCCTTCAACCCACCTAATTCCCTTTCCTCTTCACAAGCTCCAACCCATTGGCTCACCCACACGCGACTGTTGTAACCTTCTTCCACGGTGCACAACTTCATCTTCCAGATCTGATCCACGCGCCGCCATAATGGTTAACGTTCCGAAGACCAAGAAGACCTACTGCACGAACAAGGAGTGCAAGAAGCACACACTCCACAAGGTTACCCAATACAAGAAGGGTAAGGACAGTATCGCCGCTCAAGGAAAGCATCGTTACGATCAGAAACAGTCCGGTTATGGTGGTCAGACTAAGCCTGTCTTCCACAAGAAGTCTAAAACCACTAAGAAGATTGTTTTCGTTGGGGCTCTGGCAAAGGTTATGTTTGTTTTGAGTAAGCACATGAGGTGGAAATTCCTCACTGATGCATGCGTTTTTTTTTTTATTTTGTTTTCTTTATTTTGTTTATTAAATAAATTTTGAAACTAAAAAGAATAATGAAAAAAATGAAATAAAACAATTGTTTATCTTAAAATATATATATATATATATATATATATATATATATATATATATATATATATATATATATATATATATATATATATATATATATATATATATATATATATATATATATATATATATATATATATATATATATATATATATATATATATATATATATATATATATATATATATATATATAAAATATTAGTAAATCTTATAATTAATTTAGTTTAATATTAATTTAGAATTCTTTAATTAGTTTAGATTTAATTTATAACTTTAGAATTTTATTTCATTTAGTAAATTTTAGAATTTTATTTGTTTTAGTTTAGTTTAATAACTTTAGAATTTTATTTGATTTTATTTAAGTTAACTTTAGAATTTTATTTGTTTAGTTTTAGTTTAATAACTTTAGAATTTTATTTGATTTTATTTAAGTTAACTTTAGAATTTTATTTGTGTAGTTTTAGTTTAGTGACTTTAGAATTTTATTTGATTTTATTTAGTTAACTTTAGAATTTTATTTGTTTAGTTTTAGTTTAGTGACTTTAGAATTTTTATTTGATTTAGAATTAGTTTAATAAATTTATAATTTTTATTTGATTTAGAATTAGTTTAATAAGTTTATAATTTTTATTTTGTTTAATAACTTTAGAGTTTTTATTTGATTTAAATTTAGTTTAGTTCTTTTAGAAATTTATTTGATTTAGATTTAGTTTAGTAACTTTGGAATTTTTTTAGTTTTAGATTAGCAACCTTGGAATTTTTATTTAGTTTAGATTTAATTTACTAATTTTAAAATTTTTAATTTAGCTTAGATCTAATTTAGTAATTTTAGAACTATTTTACAACCTTAGAATTTGTAGTTAGTTTAGAATTATTTTAGTAAGTAATCTTAAATTTTTTAATTTAGTTCAAATAACTTCTTTAGATAATTAATTACATTCTCTTTTATTTTTATTTAAATATCTTTTGTCATTTTAATTTCTCGATGCCTCTTGGTCATTAATCTGTTTCGTTATATTTATTGTTCTTGTGAATCTTGATTGCTTATATTTTGATGTCTATTTTATTTTGCTCGCTCGATTTAATCCAAGGGAAATGTTTTAACTCTGTTGACTTCATGTTATCAAACACATCTCATCCAATCATGCGAATACCCTCATTCATCTTTTGTTTGTTTATTATTTTGCTAAACCTAAGATAATTTTCCCAAAGGATTCAATTTTCAAACTCACACCTTTTAAGTCAAAACTTCGACATTAGGTCGCCGTCTCTTCAAAATCTCATCCGCACCCATCTTTAACCAAACAAACCATTTCAACCAAACAAACCATCTTTAACCAAACAAACAATTTTAACCAAAAAAACAGATATTTCAAAAGGTTCCTGCGGAGTACCGCAGATGCATTGGGTGCTAATACCTTCCCATTGTATAACCAACCCCCGAACTCTCGATCTCTTTCAAAAACGCATTGTATTTTCATTACTTTTAAATATTACTTTACATTGAATATTTTAGGGTTTTATTTCGCTCTTTTCCCTTTTCCCTTGGAAATAATAAAGCGCGGTGGCGACTCTTGCTTTTGCGAGTCAAGTTAATTAATAGCTTGATCTCCGATTTTCACCGCTACACCCATCCACTTCGGATTCCATTGGTGACTATTCTGCTTTAGCCTTCGATAACTCTGAAGATTTGGTCAATCATGCTGAGTACGAAGTTGACGAAGATTGTGAAGTGCCGGGAGAGTTAGCCAGACTTTTGCAACAAGAAGAGAGGGTTATTCTGCCTCATGAAGAGTTGCTAGAAACCATCAACTTGGGGACAGAGGAAGACATGAAAGAAGTAAAAGTGGGTGCCAACCTGGAACCAAGTGTCAAAGAGCGCTTAGTGCAGTTGTTGAACGAATATGTTGAAATCTTCGCCTGGTCTTATGAAGACATGCCAGGGTTAGACACAAATATCGTGGTTCACCGTCTCCCCACAAGAGAAGACTGTCCACTGGTCAAGCAAAAGGTCCGCCGAATAAGGCCTGACATGTCTGAGAAGATTAAGGCTGAGGTAATGAAGCAATTCAACGCTGGCTTTCTGGCTGTTACCTCCTATCCACAATGGGTTGCTAACATCGTGCCCGTGCCTAAGAAGGACGGCAAAGTCAGAATGTGTGTAGACTATCGGGATTTGAACAGGGCTAGCCCCAAGGATGATTTTCCGCTGCCACATATCGACATCTTGGTTGACAACACAACTCAACACAAGGTATTTTCCTTCATGGATGGATTCTCGGGATACAACCAGATCAATATGGCCCCCGGAGACATGGAGAAAACTACTTTCGTCACGCAATGGGGTACCTTCTGCTACAAAATGATGCCATTCGGACTGAAGAATGCAGGGGCAACCTATCAACGCGCCATGGTAGCTTTGTTTCATGATATGATACATCATGAGATCGAAGTTTACGTAGACGACATGATAGCTCGATCACAGATAGAAGAAGAACACCTTGGTCATTTGCAAAAGTTGTTTGACAGGTTGAAGGAGTATAAGCTCAGACTGAACCCAAGCAAGTGCACTTTTGGGGTTAGGTCTGATAAACTTTTGGGATTTATTGTCAGCAACAAAGGCATTGAGGTTGATCCAACTAAAGTAAAGGCTATACAAGAAATGCCTACTCCCCGTACTGAAAAGGAGGTTAGAGGATTCTTGGGACGCTTGAACTATATTGCGTGGTTCATCTCTCACCTGACATCTACATGTGAGCCAATCTTCAAGCCGTTGAAGAAAGATCAGGTGGTTGAATGGAACAATGATTGTCAAGTCGCTTTTGATAAGATCAAAGAGTATTTACTAGAACCTCCTATTTTGATGCCACCCGTCGAAGGAAGGCCGTTAATCATGTATCTGACTGTTCTGGATAACTCAATAGGGTGCGTGCTTGGCCAACATGACGAGTCTGGCCGAAAAGAGCATGCCATTTATTACCTTAGTAAAAAGTTTACCGACTGTGAGACTCGCTACTCACTGCTCGAGAAAACTTGCTGCACTTTGGTATGGGCTGCTCGCCGGCTAAGACAGTATATGTTGACTCATACCACTTTGCTGATTTCCAAAATGGACCCGATCAAGTATATCTTTGAGAAGCCTGCTTTATGTGGAAGAATCGCTAGATGGCAAATGATCCTGACTGAGTATGATATCCAGTATACTACCCAAAAAGCTATAAAAAGGAGTGTACTAGCTGACCATCTAGCTCATCAAGCCGTCGAAGATTACCAATCTATGAGATTCAACTTCCCTGACGAGGACATCATGACATTGGACAACATTGAAGGTAATGGACCGTATGACGGACCTGAACAAGGATCCCGATGGACCCTATACTTTGATGGTGCTTCAAATACACTTGGCAACAGTATCGGTGCGGTACTCATTTCTCCAGAAGGTTGCCATACACCCTTCACTGCCCGACTTTGCTTCAGTTGTACCAACAACATGGCTGAATATAAAGCTTGCATCTTTGGTCTCAAGGCTGCTATAGACTTGGGAATCAAATCTTTGGTCGTATTTGGGGACTCGGCTTTGGTTATCAGTCAAGTCAAAGGAGAGTGGGACACTAAACATCCTAATCTTATCCCATACAAGGAACATGTCTTAACATTGTTGCCTCATTTCGAGCAGATTACCTTCGAGCATTTCCCGCGAGAAGAAAATCAGCTAGCAGATGCTCTAGCTACAATGTCTTCCATGTTTAAACTCAACTGGGATAACGAGGCTCCCCAAATTACCATCGAGCGAATGGATGAACCTGCGCACTGTCATGAGATTAATACCGAAGAAGTAGTGGAACAACCCTGGTTTCATGAAATCAAAAGGTATCTCCAGACTAGAGAATACCCTGAAGGAGCTTCTGTCAATGATAAAAAGTTCTTAAGGAGATTTGCTGCTAAATTCTTCCTAAGTAATGGCATCCTTTATAAGCGCAACCATGATTGTGTTTTACTTCGTTGTGTGGATAAAGCTGAAGCAGAGTTGATCATGACCGAGATATAAAATGGCACATTTGGCACCCATTTGAGCGGACATACGATGGCTAAGAAGATTCTAAGGGCAGGCTACTACTGGTCCACCATGGAAGCTGATTGTCATCAAAATTCCCGTACTTGTCACAAATGCCAAGTCTACGCCGACAAGGTACATATTCCTCCTGTTCCTCTCAACATTCTGACAGCTCCTTGGCCATTCGCAATGTGGGGCATTGACATGATTGGAGAGATCAAGCCCACGACATCCAATGGACATCGCTTCATCTTGGTCGCTATTGATTATTTTACCAAGTGGGTCGAAGCATCTTCCTTTGCCTCTGTTACAAAGAATGTGGTTCCCCGCTTCATCAAGCAGAACCTCATATGTCGGTTTGGTGTCCCCGACAGGATCATCACAGACAACGGTACAAATTTGAACAACACTATGATCACCGCTCTATGCGAATAGTTCAAGATTTATCATCACAATTCATCTCCCTATCGGCCGAAGATAAACGGTGTTGTTGAAGCCGCGAACAAAAATATCAAGAAGATCATTCAAAAGATGACAGTCACCTACAAGGACTGGAATGAGATGTTACCGTTTGCTCTGCATGGATATCGTACCACGACACATACTTCAACAGGGGCAACCCCATTTTCTTTGGTGTATGGCATGGAAGCTGTTCTACCCATGGAAGTTCAGATTCCTTCCTTAAGGATTATGAAGGACGCTGGTTTGAGTGAAGACGATTAGATTCAGACCCGGCTTAACCAACTTAATTTGATCGACGAGAAATGACTTGCTGCTATTTGTCATGGTCAGACGTATCAAAAACGGATGATCAAGGCTTTCAACAAGAAAGTCAGGCATCAAGTATATCAAGTCGGAGATCTTGTAATCAAGCGGATCATCTTACCGCAAAGTGATCCTAGGGGCAAGTGGACTCCTACCTACGAAGGACCATTTGTGATCAAGAGCATCTTTTCTGGTGGGGCAATGATTCTGACCACCATGGATGGTGACGATTTGCCACACCCTGCGAACGCAGACATAGTCAAAAGATACTATGCATAAAACGACCCGGCAAGTTGAAAACCCGAAAGGGCGACTCGGACAAAAAATGGGCATCCCGGTGAATCGAAAACCCGAAAGGGAGATTCAGGCAAAAGTTAGGGATAAAACAAAAAAATCTGTACACCCGACAAGTTGAAAACCCGAAAGGGCGACTTGGGCAAAAAAGGGTTTCCCGGTGGATCGAAAACCCGAAAGGGCTGTCCAGGCAAAAGTTAGGGAATTAAAGCGTATGACTATGTCTCGTCGGATCACTTTAAGAACAATCTCTTCACCAATAAGCTCCAAGCTTCTGATCAATCCAGTCATCGGCGGACGAAGCAACAAACAGACAAGATATTCAGAGTTGTGAAGGCTATAGCAGAATGG